TTTAGGGTTTAGGGGTTAAACTCCTTAAAGGGGGTTATATAGGGGATTCTATAGGGTTTACGGTTTCGGGTATAGCCATAACTTAAAGGGGGCAATATAGGGGAATATAAGGGCTGCTTTAAGAGGCATACGTGGAGTTAAGACTATGGCTGATATTGTCATGTTTAGAACTCACTAAAAGTCGCAAGGATTCGGTTGGAGGTTTAAGGGTTTAGGTTTCAGGGCTTAGGGATATAAACCGAAAAAGCTTAAGCTGGGAAATTTCGAGCTCTGAACCACTGAGAGGACCACCATCCTAGACACGTACCTCCTGAAAAGCCTCGATACCTTTGACTTTGACGCTTTGGAAGCATTCTCGCGGCTGACTGTTGTCCGTTGTGGGGAAAGACTCTGCGTTTGGGCTGTAACCAAAGAAGAATGCAACAGCGTACGTTGCAAGAACTATCACGATTCTGGCGGCCAGAACCTCTCGTACATGGTCGACATAGCAACGGTGCAGGTAGTAGGTCGCCAACATGTTGGGATTTCTTTGGCTCCTAGTGCACTGCAACCTGCAAGGACAAAACCTCAACGATAGACCCTAACAACCGTCAACCCTAAACTAAAGTACCCCGCACCTAGGTGACCCAGGTAGAGAAAAACTTAAAGTTACAACCAAGTTATGACATACATTCCCATTCCAGACAGCACTGGTCTTTCATAGAATTACCTACTTAACCCGAAACAGAACATACGTTTACACTCCGGTGATAACCTATATACATCCGTAGTAGCCATTGTAGATAGCAAAGCCCTGTAGACCTAAACCCTGTAAACCTCAACCCTAAACTCTTAGCCCTGAACCGGCAACCCTAGATCCTCAACCATAAGCACACATAAACCCTTAACCCTAAACCGTTACCCATCACACTAAAACCCTAAACTCTCAGACCTAAAGCCTTAAGCCCAAACCCTTAAGACTAAACCCTTGACCCTTCACCCTAAACCCTGAACCCTAAGACCTAAACCCCTTACCCCTCACCCTAAACCCTAAGGCCTAAACCTTTTGCCCTCCACCCTAAACATTAATCCCTAAACCCTAGACCCTAAAAGTATGTAAAAAGATAGCCTTAAACACCTAATAATAGCCATAAAGGCCATTATTCTACATACTTTTGGGGTCCAGGTAGACCCTAAGACCTAAACTCTAAACCCTAAACTCTAAATGGTAGTTTCCATTTTCTTTTCCATTATCCCTCTATAACCCCTATAAAACCCCCTTTTGGACAACCCACCAGGTGGATTCTGCTCTGCACAAGGAGGTTCAAAGCATCCTTCAGAGGACCGGTTACATCGGGGATTATATAGGGGATTCTATAGGGGTTATATAGGGTTATAACGGGAGAAGTTTAGGGTTTGGGTTTCGGGTCTGGGATTTTAGGTTTAGGGTTTGGGGTTTTAATGTTTTGGGTGTGGGGTTTAGGGTCGAGGGTTTCAGGTTTTGGGGTTTTGGGTTTTTTTAGGGGTCAGGGTTCGGGGTTTGCGGGTTTTAGATTTTCAGGGTTTGGGGTGTAGGGGTTAGGGTTCAGGG